ACCACCTAGATTCTGCAGTTAGCATTTCTCTCCCCGTTTTATCACGTATCTGTCCATCCCTCTCTCCATCTGTCAATCTATTTTATTTTTTGAGATGTTTCAAAGTAGGTTGCAGAGAGCCCCTGATGCATTTTGGCAGTTGAACAGTGGATTGCAGCGGCATACAAAAGGAGACATTTTGTTGTTACATTTGTTGTTCCACATTTTCTCCAAAAAACTTCTTACCAGTCTTGTGGAGCTAGCTCCCTCCCACGATGCCTTTTACTTGTGGGCTGTCAGTTTCAAAGGTCTCCAGGGGCCTAGGAGGCAATGTAAGGGAGTGAAACAGCTCTGGTGTAAGGCTGAGGGGACCCAGAGAGCGCCTGTTCCATGGAGAGGGGTGTCCACTGTCAGCTCCAACCCACTGCTGCCATGTGAGACTCATGAGAATTTTTTGTGAAATCTTCTACTTTTGAAGTGTTTGCAAATAATGTTTACAGACTGGGCAAAGGGTATCAAAGATGACTTTTGTGTATGAGTTTTCTGCAGCTGCCTTGGCAGATTACCATAAACTTAGCAGTTTAAACAACACAAAGTTATTCTTAACAGTTCCGCAAGTCAGAAGTCCAACATGGGCTAAAATCGAGGTATTGGCCAGGCTTCATTCCCTTCTGAGGGCCCTGGGGAATCTTGCTTATCTGGGTTATTGGCAGACTGGTTATGAAAAGTGAAACTCTGTTTTCCTGTTGGCCATCAACTGAGGATCATTCCCAAATTCTAAAGGCCGCCCACTTTCCTTGGCTTATGACCCCCTTCCTCCATCTTCAAAGCCAGCAATAGTGAGTTGAGTCCCTCTCACACTTCACTTCTCTACTCCCTCCTTCTCATCTCTCTGAGCCAGCCAGAAAGGTTCTCTACCTTTAAGGACACTTGTAGTTACATTGGACCTACTTGGGTAATCCAGGCTTCTCAAACTCATCTCAAGGTTCTTAACCTTAATGACATTTGCAAAGTCCCTTTGCCATGTAAGATAACATATTCATAGCTTCTGGGGATTAAGGCTTAGATATCTTTGGGCTGCTACTCTGCCTACCATACCTGGCTTCTGACTGGAGACAAAGTAGACAGTTTTGACATTCCCCCTGGGCCTGCCTGGTCCTCAGATCCTATCTTCTGGGCCCTGGGAAAATCCTTAATATCGCTAATGAAATATACCCCACAGACAAAAAGAAGTGAAGGACAAAAGGAATCTCAAATTTTATAAAATCAGATTGTTAGCAATGATATTGGAATTGCTTTTCTGAAGCAATTATATATATTATAGGAAAAAGCAAATAAGTAACAATGTTAAGAACCTAGATTTTTAGCAAAAGAGATAAAATAGATAAAACCAGACAAAGACATCACAAGAAAACTATAGACCAATATCCATTTTGAATGTAGATGCAGAAATCCTCAACAAAATACTAGCAAACCAAATTCAGCAATATATAAGAAGGATTATACACCATGACCAAGTAGGGTTTATCCTAGGAAGGTAAGGTTGGTTCAACATATGGAAATCAATCAATATAATACACTTTATTAATAGAATAGAGGAACAAAACCCATATGATCATTCCAGTAGATGCAGAAAAAGTATTTGACAAAATCCAACACTTTTCCATTATAAAAACATTCAACAAAGGAGGAATATAAGGGAACTTCAGCAAGTTGATAAAGAACATCTATGAACAACCAACATTAACATTATATTTGTTGATGAAAGATTGCAAGCGTTTCCTTCTAAGACCAGGAACAAAATAAGGGTGTCTGCTCTTGCCACTTCTATTCAACATTATACTGGAGTTTCTAGCCAAAGCAATTAGACAAGAAAAAGAAATAAAAGGCATCTAGCTTGGAAAAAGTGACACTCTCTATTTGCTCATGACATTGTCTTATATATAGAAAATCCTGAGGAATACATACATACACAAAATTAGAACTAATAAGCGAGTTTAGCAAGTTGCAGGATACAAGTTTAATATACAAAAATCAATCATATTTCTATACATTAGTAAGAACAATCTAAAAAGGAAATCCATATTTACTAGACATTTCTCCAGAGAAGATATACAAATGGCCATTAAGTATTTGAAAATATACTCAACATCATTAGTCATTAGGAAAATGCAAATCAAACCAAATGAGATACCACCTCACACCCACTAGGATGGCTATAATCAAAAGGATGGATGATAACAAGAGTTGGTCAACATGTGGGGAATTTGGAACCCTCATAGGTTGCTAGTGGGAGTGTAAGATGTTCTTGCCACTTTGGAAAACAGTTTGGCTGTTCTTCGAAGAGTTAAACATGGAGTTATCATATGGCCCAGCAGTTCTATTCCTTGGTATATATACCCAAGAGAACTAAAAACATGTCTACACAAAAACTTAAACATGAATGTTTGTACCAGCATTATTCATAATAGCCAAAAGGTAGAAACAACTCAAATGTCAATCAGTTGATGAATACATAGATAAAATATGGTATATCCGTACATTGGAATATTATTCAGCCATAAAAAGAATGAAGTCCTGATACATGCTACAACATGGATGAACCTTAAAGAGATGTTCATTGAAAGAAGCCAGACAGAAAAGGCTACATATTATATGATTCCATTTACATAAAATGTGCAGGATAGGAAAACCAATGGAAACAGAAAGCAAATTAGTAGTTACTAAGGACTGAGGGGAGGGATAAGGGGTAGTGACTACTAATGGATATGAAGTTTATTTTAGGGGCAATGACAATGTTCTGGAATTAGATAGTGGTGTTGGTTGTACAACTTTGTGAGTATATTAAAAACTACTGAATTATACACTTTAAAGGGGTGCATCTTATGTTGAATTTTATGGTATATAAATCATATCTCAATTAAAAGGACATGCAATATAAAATTAAGGTTCAGTAAAACTCTGTAGTCCTATCTATGAAATATTAAACTTCAGCATGAACTCATGATGCATGCATTGAAATATATTTCTAGCTCTGGGGCACCTGGGTGGCTCAGTCAGTTGAGGGTCTGCTTTCAGCTCAGGTCATGATCTCAGGGTCCTGGGATTGAGCCCCACATCGGGCTCCCTGCTCAGCGGGGAGTTTGCTTAGCTCCCGGCCCCTCCCCCCTCTTGTGCTCTCTCTTTCTCTCAAATAAATAAAATCTTTTAAAAATAAATAAAATAAAATAAAGCATTTCTAGCTCTGACGACTGTAAAGGCATAGAAACCATAACCAACCCAGGAGTAATGAATGCCCTTAGCACCCGTATTGCAGTATCCAAATGGAGATCTCGATGATAATCTGGAGCCGGGGTTCCTTGGCAGAATGGCTGATCCAGGTTAGGGCAGAAAATGTGCAAGTTAAGCATGGAGAATCTTTTGTAATCTTTTATCAATACTCTGTGGTCATATCCAAAGGACTAGGAGCCAACTTGAGAAGACTCTCTTGGACTCGAGATGGTATTATTTGGGAACGAATAAGAATAATAATATTTGCACTGAACTGAAACATTGATTATGTGAAAATTTATGAGTTCATAATGAAAACAAATAATTGGCCATCTTTGGAACATGGTAGGGAACCAAGTCATTCTGAAAACTGACAATCAAGAATGTGTCATGTCTTGGGGCACCTGGGTGGCTCAGTCGTTAGGTGTCTGCCTTTGGCTCAGGTCATCATCCCAGGGTCCTGGGATCAAGCCCCCGCATCAGGCTCCCTGCTCCACGGGAGGCCTGCTTCTCCCTCTCCCACTCCCCCTGCTTGTGTTCCCTCTCTCACTGTGTCTCTCTCTGTCAAATAAATAAAGTCTTAAAAAAAAAAAAGAATGTGTCATGTCTTTCCTGTACTTTTCCTATACTTTCCTGTACCTCAACCAAATAGTTGATGTGGTGATTTTTCTTCATTATAGTATCCCAGTTAGTAAATGAAGAATGATAGAATAAGAGTATCACCATTTTGAAAACCCCTGATGAACTGAAGGATTTAGGCATTGATCATCAGTGGCCACCAACATCACAAAAGGAAAGACCACTGAAGAGTATGTGTTTCCTATAGGAGGCTCACACCACTATAAAGAGGTTGCCAGAATATCTCACCGAATTAGGCCAAGCCTCTAGACCTAGTTGCCAATTTACAGGAGCCAAGGAGGGGTGGACAGAGGAAGGTATTCAGAGACACCACAGCAATGCAAGCAGCAAAATGCAGCCTGTAGGAGATCCGACAGCTCAAATGACCCAGTTTCTTCAACAAACTAATTGTAAGGAAAAAAGAGACTTAGAAGGTGCATCAGCTAAAGGCAGCATGTGGGCCTTGTCTTGATCCTGATTTAAACAACTGTAAAAAGATAGCAGATCAGGGAAACTTGAACACCAACTAGATATCTGATGGTATTAAGGAACTATGTTAATTCTCTTGGGTGTTACAATGATATTAAAGGCCCACAGGGGCAGGACCTCCCACCCCCAAGCTTACCATGGGACTGAGCAGAAGTGAAAACGTGCCCTCCGCCAGTAGAGCCCAGGGAGGGAGAGCGGAGGGGGCTGGGCCAGTGAAGCCCAGTTGATTCTTCCAAACTCGGGCATAAATGGTTTCTCCTCCACGGGTGAGGAGTGTGCGAGGGGTGAGGAGAGAGGCCAGAGCGTTACTGAAGGGCTGTCTTCCACGTGGAATCATGAGGATGGGGAACCATGTTCCTGTAGCGAGGGAGGGCACCCAACCCCAGGGCTGCTGTCATGGGTTTATAACTGCTCTTATACAGAGTCAGGGGCTGTCCACCGTGTGTGTAGGAATTGGAGACAGGACTTCGGGGTGCTAAGTGGAAGGAGGTTCTAAAGTGACTGAGGTGTCCCTGGCTTTCACTCGTTCCCAGAAGGCTAGAAAGGTGTGGCATTTGCAGTTAGCCAAACCGTGTGCTTGTGGAGTTCTCTTGGCGAGATGAGAGCTGAACCTATCGTCTCCTGTCCCCTGTGTCTTCCCCTAGCTGCAATGGCAAACGCTACCTGGAGACACTCCCCAACACCAGCATCATCATCCCCTTCCACAACGAGGGCTGGTCCTCCCTCCTCCGCACCATCCACAGCGTGCTGAACCGCTCGCCCCCGGAGCTGATCGCCGAGATTGTGCTGGTTGATGACTTCAGCGATCGAGGTAGGGCCCACCCCACCCAGCTTCCTGCCCCCCACACTTCATTCAGTGACTGGCCACAAGGGTGGCAGGTTTTCTTCAGCAGCACCAACAAGTGGGACACTGTTTACTGATGCTTGCTGTGTGCCTGGCCGTGACCCTGGCCCTATACACAGTATCTCATTTAGTTCTCACAACATCCCATGAAGTACATTGTTTTTATCCTGTTTGTATCGATGTAGAAGTGCACTAAACTGCAAATAACAGAAAACTCGATAAACAATAGCTCAAACAAGTAAGGGGGCTCATTCATTCATTCATTTCTAATAGGATCCAGGATTGGTACAGCTGCCTCAGGCTATCATCAAAGCACCAGGCTTCTCTGTTCTGGCTTCCTCATCCTCATGGTCACAAAATGGCTGCTGTACCTCTGGGAAGTCTGCCTTTCAGACAGGGAGAAGGAGGAAGGGTAAAGAGAACAAAGCCTCCCTTTTTCAAGATTTTGCCTTCTTATTCAGGAAAGACTTTTGGCCAGAACTCTGACATCCAGGCATCCCTATCTGCCAGGATGGCTAGAAATGGAAGTGTTTTGATTTGGGGCCCCTTGAAGAGAGGTAGGAAAGGGAGACGTGCATTAGAGAAGGTGTTGAGTGAGCCCTTCTCCAGTGTCTGCCACACCATTCTACCGCTGAGAAGACTGAGCTACAGCTTGCCTGCTCTGAGCGGGCTCGCGGCCGTGGTTGAACCCGACGGCCGCGGTAGGCAGGGCTGTGCTCATCCACTCTTGCCATCGAGGTACCAACCAGAGCAGGGCCCTCTCTCCTCGAGCAGGCCAGGTTCCATCCTGCCTCGGGATCTTCCCCCGCTGCTCCCTCTGCCCACACATCCTCTGGCCTCTTCCCCTGTCTGGCTCCTCACACCATCTTCCGTTAGATGCACCACCAGCGCTGCTCACTCTTCTTCGTGTGTCGTTGCGTAGGTGTGTGGCTGTTGGTTGGCCTGTTTGTTGTCAGTCCTCCTCACTAGATCATTCGTGGTCTAGAGCAGGGGATCCATAACTGTGTGTGACTTAGTGAACGAATGAACAAGGAGGGAGGAAGGAAGGAAATACGTGGCAGACACACACACACACGCGCGCGCGCAGCCACACGAGCAGCAGGGTCATCTTCAGCCACTGAGACAGCCGTGGCTGGGGAAGACACAGACGTTCCTTCCGTGGCCGGTGCTAGCCTGTGTTTTGTGCTCAGCCTCAGGTCCCTGTCACCTGTGTTCTGAAGCATCAGCTGTCCTGGGGGTTGACCCTACACCACTTGGTAGGGTCCCTCTCTGAGTGTCATGGGGCATGAGTCCTCCAGAGGTAGAATAAACCACACATCTGCTGGATTAGAAATGAGTGTTTCTCCCTGCTCAATTAGAAAAGAATTGTAAGACCATCTAGGCTACTGGCTTCCAGTGTGTATCTCAGAGCAGTAAGGGCCCAGGGATGCCTCACAGAACACTGTGAGCAAGAGGGTAAACCTCGCCGGTGCGGGGGCGGGGGGGCGGTGGTTGGCGGGTGTTCAGCTCCCTCTCCTGGCATGGTCTATATTTGGTTTCTGAAAAGGTATTCACTAAGAGCAGCTGCACTGCTTAAAAATGCGTGATAATCACAGATATCACTTAGCCTGCTCCTTTTACAGGTGGAAAACCCGAGGCCTGGAGCAGTGGACAGGCTTAACTAGAGCACACAGCTGGCTGGTTACAGAGGAGGGACGAGAAGCCCGTCTCTGGGCTCCTGGGGCAGCCTGTCCCTCCTCATCTCAGCTGGTTATGAGAAACATCAGCAGAAGTGCAATACTCTTTTCTATCCCCAAGGACACTTCTCAATAAATTACTTTTCCATTGTATTAAAGAGCAGAGTTCCTGCTATAAAGAGCTCATCATCAAAAACATCCAATCCTGGACTATAATGGTTTGTACTTCTAATATCCCAGTTTCCTCAGTGATAAAAATAACATGATGCACCCACCCCCCAATAATAAAAGAATGTGGCAGTCTTGAGAAAGAAGAGGCAGATTTCATAAGAATGAGATTTTCCTAGCATATCTGTTTCTCCAGAGAGCAAAAATATTGATCCAATGTGGTGCCATTGCCAGACCCTAATAAGATAGGGAAGAGAACAGATACTATCCCATTTCCCAGATGCAAATGATACCTCAGGCCCCTAATTGTTGCCCCTTTTTCTCAATGAATCAGGCGTGCAACCCAGAGACCCAACTCCTACGTCATGCCCCTCAGTCCTGCACAGTAGCTGTCAGATTTCACAACCTGCATTTTTCAGAAAAGCAATCATTATTCTAGTTTCAAGAAGAAATTCTTAAGGCAGCTTTGGAAGAAAACTTAGCAGTGATTGTTTTAAAAATGAGATTTGGGAGAAACAATTTCAGAACTGTGGAGAGGCCTGTCCAAAGTACAGCAAATATGGGCCATCATAAAAGATTTCTCTGGGCCATGTGAGCAGAGGCAGTTCTCAGAGTTGAAATTTACAGATGCTAACTACAGGCTAGATTGGTGTTGCTCAGCAGAAGGCATTTTCCTCTGAAATGAGTCTCCTCCAGGCTCCTCAGGGCAACTAATTGTAATTCAGCTAAGGGTTGAGACCTCGGGTAGGAGACAAAATTGGAGTAGATGAATGCTTGAAATAAGATCCCCAGCTTTGTGCAGGCAGCACTGGGGACTAGACTGGAGGCTGATGCTGACCCCAGAATAATCCTGGCCTTGCCTGCAAATAGAGCGCTACAGAGTTTTCCAGGGGTGTCCAAAAGCTCTTCAAATGTGTGAGCTTTGCTTGAGGATTAGGAGGACATAGAGGTGTTTTTGCTCTAGTGGGAGAGAGCGATGAGGGTATAGGGGAGCAGACTTGCCTCCAGATTACACTGCCCGGATGGGAGATTGTTTATTAGAAGAAACAAGAGAGGCCTTTGTTCATTTGGTTTTTTTCTACTCCTTTTCTCCTTCTCCTCCCCACTTTCAAATAGTGTTGGTGTTGCAGAAAAACAGGATATGTAGTAATGGAAAGGGTTATTGTCCTTACCTGAATGATGATGGGCTCCCTGGATGATGAGGTACAGAAAGGAAAGGCTATGGTATGATCTCATTGACGGTATTCTCCCCAGTTCAACTCCCCATCAGGGAACAAACAAACACATGCACAGGGAATGGTTCCCTAGGAGGAAATCTTAAGCAAGTGTTTCAAGTGTTTGCAGAGCTATTGATGGATTGTTGGCAGTGATTGGTGCTGGGAGGATTATGGACATTGCTGGACCCACTGGCTCACACAAGAGAGGCCCTCACCAATGAAGCCGGAGTCAGGTCCTCTTTCCACGATGGGCTTATTAATTCTGACCTGCACTCTCATACCATGCCAGTCGTGGGGACCCATCAAGGCCATCCATTTTGCCCTGTCCTGATCTGCATTTCAACATACCACTCTTGACACTGCCCCTGAGCATATGGGTCTGTTCCTTTCTCAGCCTCCATCTGCTTCCAGGACCCCCACAACTATTGGGGTGCCCATTCCCCACTTGCACCGTACTGTTTCAGTTCTTTAACCCTGAGATTTGTACTGCGTATTTTGTTTTTCTCTACACTTCTCCTGATTTAATTCATATTCGTATATTCAACAAATTTCATGAGTTGACTGTACTACCTGCTGTACGAGGCGCTGGGAATGCAACAGGACTAAGACAGACTTCCCCCCAGCCACTCACATCTTGAAGGGCAGACAGACGGGGTAAGGGACAATTGTAAGACCATGGAATGTGTGCCCATTGGTGGAGATCCAGGCTTTGAGGAGCACAGACAAGGTCAGGGAAGACATCGCAGAGAAAATTCCAGCTAAACTCAATCCTAAGGGATAAGTAGATACTACTCCCCAGGGCATGGGAGGGGAAGAGTGTTGGAGGCCGAGAGAACGGCGTGAGCCCAGGCTAGGAGCGAAGGAGAAAACGTTGAAGGTGCAGAAAGACCTGTTGATAACCTTATCATCTGCAGGCAATTACTATTAGCATTTAGGATTTACCCCCCCTCTCAGGGTTTTTTTTTTTAATAGACTTTATTTTGTAGATCAATTGTAGGTTCACTGCAAAGTTAAGCTGAAAGTGCAGACAGTTCCCATATACCCCTCCACCCTCACCCCACACGTAGCTAGCCCCCAGGCCCTTTCAGTGCTCTGCACCTGCATCAGAGTGGTCCATTGGTGACAATTGAGGGACCTATGTTGACACATCATTATCACTCCAAATATATAGTTTTATATTGGGGTTCACTCTTGGTGTTATATATTCTGTGGGTTTGGACAAATGTATGAGGACATATATCCACCATTATGGGATCATACTGAATCGGTTCACGGCCTTAGAACTCTTCTGTGCTCTGCCTGTTCATCCTTCCCTCCCCCTAGCCCCTGGCAGCCACTGACCTGCTTGCTGGCTCCATAGTTTTGCCTTTTCTAGAATGTCTAATATAACTGGAATCATTCTCTATGTAGCCTTTTCAGATTGGCTTCTTTCACTTAGCAATATGCATTTAAGGTTTCTCCTTGTCTTTTTATGGCTTGTAGCTCATTTCCTTTTGGTGCAGACTAATACTCCATTATCTGGACATATCACAGTTTATTTATCTACTCTTCCGCTGAAGGACATCTTGGTTCCTTCCAAGTGTGGGCAGTTATGAATAAACCCGATTATAAACATCCATGCACAGGTTTTTGTGTGGACATGTTTTTGGCTAACGTAGGTAAATACCAAGGAGCACAATTGCTGGATTACATAGTCAGAGTATGTTTAGTTGTGTAAGAGACTGCCAGACTCTTCTTACAAAGTGTCTGTACCATTCTGCATTCCTGGCTATGAATGAGAGTTGCTGTTGATCCACACCCTAGTCAGCATTTGGACTTGTCAGTGTTCTGGATTTTTGCCCTTCTAATAGGTGTGTAGGAGTATCTCGTTGTACTAATTTGCATTTCCCTATGACCTTTGCTGTTGAGCATCTTTTCACATGCTTATCTGCCATTTGTATGTCTTGTTTGGTGTCCAGTGTCTTTTCATGTCCATTTCCTTTTTCATACCCTCCCTATCCCCCTCTAGCTTCACTCCAGCTGAGGTAACTAATGTTAATAATCTGATGTGCATTATCCTGCATAGTAATACTAACATGTAACAGCATGTAGTAACAAGAACTAGTACTCACTGAGTGCTTACTTTGTGCTAAGTGAATTCCCTCATTCATTCCCATGCCACTCTTGAGGGTTCTGTCATTCCCGGAGTGAAAACCACTGGACTCAATGATTTCAAACCACTTTTTTCTACTTGAAAATGGTCATATTTTTATCCCCATTTTACAGATGAGAAAACTGAGATACAGAGAGGTTAAGGAAATAGCTGGCACATACTTAGCCCAAAGAAGCAGAGCTTTGATTTAAAACCGTGCATGCTGATGCTAAAGCCTTTACCCCTAATCTTTACATGTTTTTTTTTTCCTTTTAATGGGGTCATCCTGTACACATTACTCTTTTTACTCCTGTTAATATATCACAGACATCCCTTAAGTCAAAAAGACAGAGAGCTATCTCATCTGTTTTTTAATAGCTAAATCATGTTCCATACTGGAAGCCGACGTTTAGTGCCTTTACGTTGCACTTTGTGTCATGGTCATCCGGTCGTATTTAACTTTGTATCCGGACTTCTCTTCCTTAACTTTCTACAATCCGTTCCCCTTGTCATTGTAAACTGACTGTCACATCTCTCCTCCTCTGTGGCAACTGTGAAATAGAGAAGGGAGTCAGATGACCCCAGAATATGAGCAGTATTGTTGGAGAGGCTGATCCAGAGAACACAACATTGATCTGTTCCTCCCGCTCTCCTCCTGAACTAACTGACCCCGGGACAAGCTGAGCGGCTGAGGAACTGGAAGCCTCCCTGGCAGGGCAGAGCCCATGCCAGTGAGTGCACCACAGGCAGGAAAGGATGAAGCAGGCCGTGCAGGCGGAATGACTGTTTGGATTTTGGCCTGCCCAGCATCACCTCCCCTGACCACCCCAGAGGTGAAATACCGTTCCCTCTATAGTATGAGGGCAGGAGAAGCAGTTCCGTCTTACAGACGACAAAACCAAGGCTCAAAGAGATTGGCGGTAAGTGGCCTAAACTGCTTACCTGCCCGTACAGTCTAGGAGTCCCCCCTTATGGGTGGGGATATGTCCCAAGGACCCCAGTGGATGCCTGAAACCACAGATTGTACCAACTCCCTATTTACCATAGTTTTACCTATACATACATAACCTCTGATAAAGTTGAATTTATAAATTATGCACAATAAGAGATTAACAACTAATAATAAAATAGAACAATTATAACAATAGACTGTAATAAAAGCTATGTGTGAATGCGGTCTCTCTCTCAAAATATGTTTTTTTTTTTCTTATGTTAGTCACCATACGGTACATCATTAGTTTTTGATGTAGTGTTCCATGATTCATTGTTTGCGTATAACACCCAGTGCTCCATGCAATACGTGCCCGGCTTAATACACATCACTGGGCTAACCCATCCCCCCACCCCCCTCCCCTCTAAAACCCTCTGTTTCTCAGAGTCCATAGTCTCTCATGGTTCATCTCTCCTTCCAATTCCCCCCGCCCCATTTTCCCCTTCCTTCTCCTAATGTCCTCCATGCTATTCCTTATGTTCCACAAATAAGTGAA